ATATATATATATATATATATATATATATAAAGTATTCTTGAAAACAAATTTGCTGTGTTTTGCTGGATGTAGGGGTCAGTGTGTTTTCGACAACCCTTCAAAGCTGTATCTTCGTTGAGAGCGACGTTCGGAAACACATGCAAATTAAATGTGCATGATGGAGAGAAGTTAGTGGGCTCAATTGGGACCTCAAATTGCGTTGGCATGCAAACGCGCGCGATAACGCGCACCGCCGGGGGTGTTGCGCGAGTAGGCGGTTTCGAGGATGTTGAGAAGATGGCGCTAGACACTGCCCACACAAACATCAAAGGATTGCCGCTGACATAAAACCCCCCACCGCCTCCCCGCTCGCGGTACCGAAATGTGTGTGTGTGTGTGTGTGTGAAAATAAGACCGAGCTTTTGTCGTGCCTGGGAGAAAGCCTGGGAGTTGAGGGATGCGAGTGAAACGCTTGTGAGATGCGGCACTCGACGTGGACTCTGATTTATTGCGGTGTGCCGATGTTACTTTACAGCTTATTCCAGTTATAACATCCCAAGTTAGCAAGAGGGCGACGATAATGCGGGACACAACTGTGCATTGTGCAAACACCAATCAAATAACCGAATTCAGGAATCAGTTTAACCCATTCGCGGATTACCTTAAGTGCTGCCATCTCCAATCGTATCGTAGCACCTGTCATGTTCATATCGACCGCTCTCATCCCATTGGTTCACGCCCAATGCGTGCGTAACCCAGGGGGACCACACGCTGTCTCGACCTTTTAGCTCATAAGACAACAATTCTCTCACCACAGGATTTTGCAGACGTGCAGTGCAATTTATTTTCCTTTAACTAAGGAGAGCTCTGTGTCCATCACGATGCACCAGCTTTAGGTAGATTTCGATTGGCCCACAAGCCGAAGAGTAAATTACAATTGGTTGATTTAAGCAGAGTGAAAATGCCACAAACTCGATTGCAGAGCATCAAACAGCACTGTACGATGGCAACTAACAAACAACGCATTCGGCAAGGAATTTATAGTGTCTGCGATGCCTTATGAAGCCTGCAATTATTGACACAAGCGTTTTAGAAGTGAACAGCCGCGCCTCGTACAGCCTAACAGGACGCAGACTTGAAAGCTCTCAACTCAACGCACCAAACAAGCAACTGGAGGCGTTTGCACCGAATTCAAGAACTTGGAAGCCGGATCCCACGTGTGTTGACCTTCCAAAGTTTCGGCTGACCTTGACGCGGACAGTGTTTCACATAAACTAGCATTTTAATTGGGTTTGCTTTCATTAAGAGAACGCCACCAAGGCCTGCCCCAGTCGACACTTGCGCATGCACACAATACATACTACTTACTGAGGAAACATAAGTAGAACATTCTGTACTAAGATTACAGATTTCGTGAGATCAGAGGCGGTAATGTGTATATGCAGTACGAATATACATACATATATGCATATGCAGTAGACGCAGGTTTTGCGGGAGTGAAAGTGATCAACGGGGCACAAATGGAGACGGAAGGGGGAGGGGAGCAAGTAGATCAGCACCAATCAAATTAAGTCGAACTAAAGAGGGCTTGGAGGAAGAGGAGAGAGTGTGCGTTGGTGTGTTAATGTACAATGGGAGAGCGAAGGAGGGGGGGGCGACTAGGGGGAGAGGGTCGACGATGATAATCGATGGAGGTGCCAATTGAGATGAGATAAGAAGACACGACGCAGCAGACGGAGACTCGGTTCTTGTCCGGCCGATTCGCAGGACAGCTAGTTGCAGCACTTCTGCGAGCCCCTTGCCGCGTTGTCCGGGGTGGTGCCGATTCGCGTGCCACCGGTGTTGGCGGAGGGCGGCTCGATGAGGGAAAGAGACTCGGCTGGGGGGGAAAAACAACAACACTACTGGTTTGATCTCTGCGGAACCATGCCCTTTTACCTCCCTGACCACGCACGCACACACACACACAGACGATTGTGGCGGAGATGGTGGTGGAGGTGGAGGGGTGGTGGTGGTGGGGAGGTGGTGATGGAGATGGTGGTGGTGGAGGAGGTGGTGGTGGGGAGGTGGTGATGGGGAGGTGGTGGTGGGGAGGTGGTGATGGGGAGGTGGTGATGGAGGTGGAGATGGGGAGGTGGTGATGGAGGTGGAGATGGGGAGGTGGTGATGGAGGTGGAGATGGGGAGGTGGTGATGGTGGTAGTGGAGAAGATGGTGGCGGAGGTGGAGGAGGTGGTGGAGAGGGTGGTGGTGATAAAAGAGGTGGTGGTGAAGGAGGCGATTGCATTGTATCGCATTACAAGTGGTGCATCACCTCAAATGACAATTTCGGCGTAAAGTGACACACACACACAGTCACAAAAACACACACTGCGCGCAGAAAGGACTCACCGATGAGCTTGAAGAATTCCATGATGTTGGTTGACAGCTTTGCCGAGGTCTCCATGAACAACAGCCCGTTCTCCTGCGCGTACTTCTGCGCATCCTTGAAATGAATTTAAAAAAAGAACACACGCACAATGAAGGAGCGGTGATGAAAGCGAACAACGGTCATACTACAATTAAGTGTCGTCCGCTGTCCAACACTTATGAGCCACGGGCTCAGATATTAGCTAACAGCAAGCTCGAATCGATTCAGAAAGCTCATTAACAACACTGGGTAGATGTGACTTGAGACAAGCACAGTTCAATCTGGCGGCGTGGCAGATTCTCCTTGGCACACAAAAAGCACGTAAAATTCTGCTCTCACATGCTCCGAGACCGCGCGCTGTTGATGGAGGTCGGACTTGTTGCCGGCTAGGGCGATCACCTTGACGCACTGAGACCGTTCGCGAATCTCGTCAACCCACTTCCTGGCGCGTTCGAAGCTCTCGACGTTGGTGATGTCGTAGACCACCACGGCGACGTCTGCTCCGCGATAGTACATCGGCGCGAGGCTGTGGTAGCGCTCCTGACCTGTAAAGTAGACACCACGACCCCAATTGACTAGGTCACATCTTGCACATGGTGTGGCAACTGATTTTGACAGGTGCTAGGATCCCTCAGACGGTAGCTTGACGCTCAGCACAGCGCGGTAGACAGGTGGTCAGGTACCGTCTCCGTCCCCATTCACACCTCCCCTTTCGCGTTCAGCATTGCATTAAAAAATCCGCGGTAACATTATTAACCCCTGCACGTAATTATCGCGAAACCGCGTAAGGCTAATTTGCATTTAAAAATGCACGGCTCTTCCGTCTAGTAATTCCATGTTCCCTCATTGGCCAAAACGCAAACGCGCTCACTGGCTTGCCAAGTGTGACTGTGGTTAGAGGTACATGCGCTAAGCGCTCAACTCCACCATCGATCACCTCGGAAATTTGGGCTTAGCTGGAGAAATCTCGTCAGCCTGGTACTTGGAATGAGTCCCTTCTATCTAGTTAAGTTGAGCAAAACGATATTCACGAATCAGAAAAGAGTATTTCTAACAATTTGGGGAGGATAAAAAGTTGGTGACGCCCTAGGAAGTTGATCCATTGAAACAGAACTGAGTAAAACCGGTGTTTGCCAATCATGACCACCAAGTTAGGATAAAGGAAAGTGGATATTGATAGCTTACTTAGTGGGGATCGCGTATCTTGCCTATCTCCAGGCTGATGGCATAGGATTTCTTTACAATAAGCACAATGTACTGACCAGCACGCACCAGACGGGTGACGAGTGGTGCCACTTTGAACCGACTTATGAGTGGTCTGGGGTTTAATCAATCCATGCAATTTTTTGTCAGTCGGTTGTGACCCGAAAAGTCTGAGCGTTCACACACACACACACACACACACGGACACGCGCGAACACCAGAGATACGTTCTCGTTGCGGTTAGTCAAGCTTGGCATCACTGGCATAAACAAGCTGCGCGAACCAAACTTCACGCTGCAAGTAGTCGGAAGCTAGACAGGAAAAACCGACCCCATGGGCATGGACCGCACACATTTCATGAAATATACACCCTGTTTTTCGGTTGAGTGCAAATTTTCTATGACAGCACATTACACTGTCTCGTCTGCAAGCATCATTCACGTATGGCTAGGCAAAAGGAATAAATCGAACAGCCAAACAGTGCGGAATTTCAAAACTGTTGTGATAGGTAGAACCTGTGGAGGAACCAATGAGAAACCTCCACAAGTAATTCCTAGAATTTCGAAAGGAAAGTTGTGTAGCAGGCATGGCCAGGCACACTTACTGACCAAAGAAGCACACCGAGGTTGTCAACCCACAATCCGGTTACCGCAGGACATAATGAGAGATTTCATTCAGCCTGTACATTGCGCGCACGTGCTTAATCAGATTATCACTAAGATATTTTAAATGACGAAATCTAGACTAGAATGACGTGCTTTAGACAAAGTCTCACATGAAAAAGTGAATTTCCCAGAGCGCTTAAACACCTGCAGTGTTTATATAAAAGTTAACTTAGTCGAAGACAAACAAAGCGGATTTCAAGGACGAACTACGTTTGCTTTTACAAAACCTAGTATGGAGAGACACTCGCGCGATTCGTGATGAGATTACACTTGAAAATAGGGGATGACGCTTGCGTGGGCGGTAAAATACTGCAGTTTGGAACGAATACACAGCCAACTTTCAAAAATCGACGTAACAGTACCCTGGGGCTACACTGGAGAAGATGCTACGTAAGAAAATAAGTTTTTTTACAGGCGTCTTCAACATTAAATTTATTGCATGAAGGCATAAAGCACACTACCATTACAGCGAAGGTCCTGCTAAAGCAGACTGAATGCCAAAGCGCGTTACATGTTTTAACAGCACGTTGAATTGTTCTTGACAATGTGTTTAAGTTCTTAAACAAGTCGATCAGCGTAGCTACTAAACTTACATCTTCAAAAACTGAAAGTGATACAAAAATCGCACAAAATAACACGAGCACTTACCAGCAGTATCCCATATCTCAAACTTAATTGTGACTTGAGGGTCACCAACAACGATGGACTGTGTGAGGTATGCGGCCCCAATAGTGGCCTCCTGGTACTCCTGAAATTGGGACTTCACAAACCGAAGGGCGATGCTTGACTTGCCAACTGCAGATTCACCCAAAAGTACTAACTTGAAAGGTCGAGTGGCCATTCTGCTTCAACCTGGAAAAAGCAAAAGAAGAATAGCTATTTCGGCAACATTACACACGAGTTCACGTTAAGTCTTTAAAAGTTTGTTAGGTAAACCAAAAAATAAACGTCATCGTGCATCTGAAAAATGATATTGACTGGGATCTTTGCAATAAATACGGCTTAAATCCTCATATTTTGAGATAGCAGTCAACTACATTGACGAGCGACAAGAGGCACTGAGGTTGAGAAATAAGATAATAGCAAACAGTAACAAAATTAGCGATGTGAGATTAAAAATGCGAATGAGGCAGACAAAACAACGAGACATTCAGAATTACTATGCTTGAAATTAATCAACCATCTGTGAACAAAGAAATTAGCATGCGTAGCCACATCTCCACAGTACAGCAGACTGAACAAAAGAGTTCTGAAGGAAAGTTTATGCAAAAAAAAACTACAAGGCACGGCAATACACTTCTGCACGTACTAAACAACCCCAGTATAGCAACAAATGTGAAACTCGCCTTCCGGAATCGGCGAATCAAACACAAGCAAAATGGAGCGACTTAAACAAAAGCCATTAAACAAAATCAACTTATGCACAAAAGTTGATTCCAAATGGATAAACTTTGAAACATTAATAGAATGCACATATCTGATAAACCACGATTTTAAAGTTTGACACTTATAAGCCTTTATAATGCAAAAAGTGATATTTTAACCATGAGACCGACTAGAGCAACTTTCCGTTCAAGAGCTTGTGAAGTTTCCACCGCAGGTAAGAAATTCTCAGCAAACCACAAAGCCCAAACACAAACGATAAAAAATACAACTGTTTTGCAATCTACCGCAAAATATGGCTCATCCATTTACTGATTTTTGAGTATGTGGCATGTGCGGAAGCAAAACAGATGTGAGGACACCATTATTTGTCTACTAATCCTCATGCCATTTTTGTTTTGTCTAAGATGGCCATTCAGTACAAGCCTAATAAGCTCAATGTTATTAAAATTTAACAATTAATGACCGAAAAAAATTACTCAATTTGCGCACCGTGAATATTAACATAATATGGAAGTCACATTTTGGTAGTTTCAGAAATTCCATATAAAAATAGAAGCGTTTTCTACATAGTCCGCAGTTTGTTGTGGAACCTTTTATTTAGTCTTTGTTCACAAACTTTGATTACCACAAAACAAGGTTTTGCGGCAGATTGCTGTTTAATTTTCAAGGAAATTTCAACAGATCTTCAACTACTCTTGAAACAACTCGTCGAAAGTCCTTTTTAGCTCCTTTGAAAAAGTGTGTTATATAAAGGTGGCTTGGGTTCGTACTCAAGTTTTCACTGCGACTCATACATTAACCCCAGTTTGTAAAAAATATATCATTTGCAGAATCTGTACGACTGTTACCTGAATGTGTACACATAACTACAAGTTCCACGTGCCTTCGCGGACGCTGTTACACTACAGCTTTGCAACCACTGATTCTTCTATATGGTTGCAAATTTTTGATGATACACAGTAAAAATTGGACAGTCGTTCAATTACTGCCTAGTTTTCGAATGATAGTTCTTCCACCAAACTTTTGACACAGTATATTCTTCAATGCAAGTAGCGGTGAATTATGGTAATGAATAGACATTTTGATCATACTGCTAAAATATTTGGTTCACTGATGATAACTTATTTTCTTAATTGTTGCTTATTGTGGAACGCGAATCCCAATTCAGGAATATATTTTCCATTGCTCAACAGGTTGCAGGTTATTAAAAATAAGTCCACCGCCGCTGTTTCTCGTAAATCTAGGCCAAACGCAGTTTTTCGTTGCATTCAAGACGGTAGCTGCTTTATTCAGTTCAACGAAGTCACCTCCTTGTCAATGAAATCGTCGCCAAAACAACTTAATCGTGTTTATTTGGCAACCACTCGCCACCTTACACAGTACTTTGAACTTCTCCGCTCACCAATACATCCCACGCTTTTCAGTCGCTGGCTACAACCCATTTTGCGCACATGTAGTTTTCCATGAAACGACGTGTCAGAGCGATATTACATCACTCCAAAACAAATCAAACCTGTGAGCGTTGAGGTTCCTGGGGATTTTAACGAGGAAAATTTTGCATTCCCAGGTGAAGAAAACCTAACTGCCTAGCCAATCACAACAGTGCTTCATTTGATCTACAGGCTTTTTTACGCGTGCTTAGCAAAAGTGAGCTGCAAACAATGGTACCACGATCATAATCAAGTACCAAGAATTTGCCCTGCTCGTAGTGACTAGTATGGATAACTCATTATCATTTAAGTCTATACATGCTTAATGCCAGTGTTATGTACAGATTACGAAATATGACAAGCAAAGAAAGTTGCGTAAATATCCGTACGAATTTGTCAATATTACAGACTAAAAACCATTAAAAAATCCAGGATTGCTAGCAAAATTAATTATGAATAAACGTAACAGTTAGACAAAGGCTATCAGCGAGTTAAAAAAAACAGTGAGCTGTACGCCCGTAGCTGGCAGAGACCGATATTTCCATGAAAACCTGATTGAACGACTTGGATTGACCCCTCTCCCCCCAATAATCAAGATGTTAGTATCTGAACGCTCAGTTGCACCTATTAGTAACTTAATTCGTTAAAAATTTGCCGTAGCAGCACTTAATTAAACCTTTTTACACAAAACCGCTCAAAAATCCAACCCACCCATCTGACCTCTGCTCCTTCCGTTTTCAATGAAATCGATACACCTCAAGTACATTACTAGAGTTATGTGTCGATTTATTATTGACGACGATCTATGGCCCCGCTTTACCAAACTTTCGATGATTTGATTTGCTTCACGAAGACAGTCAAACACGTCGCCTCATTCACAATGAAGTTGCTTGTTCTTTATTAAAAGTGATGGCATGAGCGGTCCATAATAGTTATACTGTTTCAGGGTAAAGTGATGCTGGAAAAGCGACTTCTTCTAGGCCACAGAGTCAACCTGCAAAGCGACAATACCCGCTCTTACGCTGCCGATGTGACAAAAGTAGTAATCAGAAATTTCAATTTGGAGGCCCTGCCTAATACTCCATTTGCTCCAGATCTGGTTCTACCAAGATTTCCGGAGGGCGAATGGGCGGCGGCTGCCGTGGACTGAGAGGAAAAGGTCGGCGATGATAAACGACAAGTGAGCGTAGGTGCCATGTGAGGTGGGAAAATGCGACAGCTAGTTGCAGCACTTCTGCGACGACGGCTTGGCAGCGCTATCCGCGGTGGCGCCGATTCGAATAGCACCGGTGTTGGCGGGGGGCGGTTCATTGTGGGGCAGAGACTCGGCTGGGAAGAACAAGATCAAAGACTGCTTAAAAATCGATGCTTGCACTCATGCTACAGCGCTTGACCTTGCGAACACCACAACCCACTGATCTCAACCTCAAATGCACCAATAGTTCGAAGAGTTGTCGGATCCGTGATCCATTTGATCTCATCGGTTTTTGGTAAAAGTGAATCAAATAGCGCGATCAAACTTGTGGATTTGTAGCAAAACATTTAGAGGGGTTTGGCACCTTCTTGGTTGGCAGTTCACCTGATTTAAGGCAGTTTTATTATACAACAACAAACATATTTTGCAAGAACCGGTTTTTGAGACTGGGCGATTGGCCGCAAGCCACAGAAACGAGACGTAACTAAACATGCAGAAGACTTACCAATGCGTTTGAATAACTCCATGATGTTGGTTGCCAACTTTGCCGAGGTTTCCATGAATAACAGTCCGTTCTCTTGTGCATACATCTGGGCGTCCTTGAAATGAATTCAAACACAATATGGAATAGGTGGGTAGGTAAAATTACTGAAAGTGGGTATGATGGAAGTGATGGCGGTGGCAGTGACGTCGACGAAAGCAAAAGAGCTACATTAACTTTAGGGAACTTCAGCAGCGTGTGTGTTAACAACAAAGTGCTTTGGAAAAATCTGTAACGCCAAATAGCAGGTATCACTTGAGACAATTTGAACGACCTAGAACCACTTTGCGGCATGGCCGTTACTCTGGAAAAACAGTATGCTAGTTGATTGTGAAAAGAGAGGGGAAAGGTACACATAAAAACTGTTCTCACATGCTCAGAAACTACGCGCTGTTCACAAAGGTCGGACTTGTTGCCGGCGAGGGCAATCACCTTGACGCCGGGAGAGCGTTCGCGAATCTCCTCGATCCAGGATTTGGCTCGCTCGAAGCTGTGGAGGTTAGTGATGTCGTAGGCCACGACAGCCGCATCTGCGCCGCAATAGTACATCGGCGCCAGGCTATGGTAGCGCTCCTGACCTGTTCAACATACCAGCAGTAGGATTAGGACCACACTTAACGCTCTGGCATGAAGCGGTCGTTTGTAGACCAAACGATGACTTGAAAGTGTGGAAATTTCTTTGAAAAAAAAAACTATTAGCATACGATGTTTGCATAATACGCACGAAACGATGTAACGCACAACAGCGTGCTGCACTACCTACACACTTTAAGAAACATCGTAGGAATTGGAACGGACTGATATCATTCAGCTTGCAAATTGCGTGAATGTGTGCGATCGAAAAAAGTATTTTCAAAATCGACATAATCGAACCCTAATGTTACACAAAACAAGACACTGCGATAAAAAATAAATTGTCGCAACATGAGTGTCCAGTAGATTTTCAAAAAGTGTCTCAAGCATTTCCGCGCACATTACAACGACAAACTAAACACAATGCGTTATATGTGTTAACGGGCTATTAAATTGTTCTTAAAATTGATTCTAAGTTCTAAAACAAGCCGACAAGCGTAGCTATTACATTTACACCTTCAAAACCTGACAATGATGTAAAAATCGCACAAAATAACACGAGCACTCACCAGCAGTATCCCATATCTCAAACTTGACTGTAACTTGGGGGTCACCAACGACGATGGATTGTGTGAGGTATGCGGCGCCAATGGTGGCCTCCTGGTACTCCTTGAATTGGGACTTCACGAATCGAAGGGCGATACTTGATTTGCCAACTGCAGTTTCACCCAATAGAACCAATTTAAAAGGCCAAATGGCCATTCTGTTTCAACCTGGCACAGGTAAGCACAAACGCAAAGTTGAGCCTCAAGAGTCTATTTACGTAACTTCTAGATAAAGACAAAACATCTAACTCCAGCTCAGCTGGTTAAGCCCTACTAGAACCAGCAGGAACAATGCAACACCAAAGAACATTGAATATTGATTTGCATAGAAGTAACCAAACTACGTCGAACATGAAATTATTGCATGTAGCTACATCTTCACGCTAGAGCAGATTAGATAAAACTCATTTCTACGGCAGGCTAATGTTATCTAAACTGGGTATCATGGCAAAAATATGCCACACTCACTACAGAACCAATTCAGTAAAAATGTGTTTTCGGAATTGGGCTTACTTGCACACACGAGAAGCGAGCCGATTTAAACAAGGGCGGCATTTTCAAATCATTTTAAAGTCAAAAACTGTTTTTATACACTAATTATTATAGACATCCAAATTTTCGTTTCTTTTTTTAAATTAGTCTTAGCATGATTTAATTTAAGCCCTAGCTACAGAGCATGGGGACTCATTTCAATGACCTTTAACAAACACGAAGTTCTAAGGTAAATTAAAATTACATGCATCGAAACAATTTTAACTATTACGTCATTAAAAAAGTCGTTTTTAAATCATCTTTTTTGTTTTTTCCATTTTGAAATTTTATGCTAATTTCGGAAGTTGTTTAAAAATGAATGATTTAGGGTGCTTTTGTTTGATATAAATATTATTTTTTTTATTATTTAGTGCTCCGATTTTTAAAATTGAACTGACGCTGCAGGCTACGTTACGAAAAATGTACGCAAAATAGTTTTTGGATGACTGAAAGCAAGGAATAGGCTGAAACACCTCTAAATCTTCCTGGAATTACGTAATTCATATTTAATTTAATTAACGTTCCATATGCCTTCACAAAGGTTCTATTAGTGTAAATTTTCATATTCACATTATATTGTATGCAATACATCATTTATCTCCTCTCGCCCACCTGGCCAATGTTGAGTGTGGGGGTGTCATTCTCCAAAGTCGAAAATCTGTTAGATTTTTTTGGCCTTTTTTTGAATGATAACAAGGCAAGGGCTAGTGACACGTGTTAACTGCTCTATTTAGTTGGTTCTTTTTGCAGTCATTTTGAGCAACAAAATTAAATTAAATCATGGTCATCGGAATTTACTTTACCTAACAAAACAGACGTTGTTTTTTAAGTTTGTTCATTGATTCAGTCGATTTATGCCTTTTCGAGTCAAAGACACTTCCACGACTTGATGATGTCAGTTTATGCCTGTCATTGCATTTCAACATTATTTTTTTAGCAATACATCCCTCGCATTTCAGTTGGTGGCATTTGCATATTCTTTACACACATTTAAATTCCGTTTAACATCTGACTATCACGATATCATATCACCCTCAAACATATTTAACCTGCAGACGATTAGGTTGTTAGATTTTTTGCTTTAAAATTTCAAGAATCGCCATTTAAACAAAGCAAGACAAAACTCTAACTGAGCGTTAGCAAGCTGCAAACAGCGTAAGTGAATTTCATGGAGAACGATAGACGTTATAAAAAAAAACTATCAGACAGTTGTGGTTTTTGGATTCTTGACTTTTCATTTCGTTAGTTTCGGCATAACAGATTTGTAAGAAACGGTTGCATTATGCAAAAATACATTGGCAGTTGTACAAATATTCAAGTAAAAAGTTAGACCAACTTAATATCAGCAAAATTGAGTGAAAATTATTCCTTACCTATATCACTAATAGTGTTTTTTTTTATACCACCACGGCTCGCTATTGGCCATCGCAATAACCATTTTTTGTTTAATGTGAGCACATAATTTTTTCTGCAGATAATTTACGTAAATATTTTTGGTAATCTTGTCACAATTTTTACCGAAACAATTGGCCTTTCCTTCGCACACTTGACCTTGATATTATCCATTTTTGGCTAGTTCAAGGTCAGACGAATTTAAAAAACGTCGTTTCTGGCTTTTCAGCCAGAATGTTAACAATAGCAGACGGTGCTGCGTTCCTTCAGAGGTTGAGACATATGTAAACTGACCTCTCGATGATCTTTCACTTGTTTTGGTTTTCAGGTTTAAATGCACTTTTTTAATCCAAAAGTATTAATTAGACAGTAGCCTTGATCGCGCAGGAAGATACGAACGCCACAACTGAATGTTGAAAAGAAACAAATAAACAAAATTTTTTGAATTTCTTACACCTATTTCTGCTTGGCAAATTGCCACCTCTTTTGAATTTTTCTGACCTTGAAGCCGCCAATGGGATGTGACTTTATTATTATTTCGCTAAAATTGCTAATGCCTTGTTTGGTAACAATTTCTGATCCGTCGGAACTAACTGGGTCAAAATGTGTCCAATATTTTTTAACTGTTACTTTTTCTGGCACAAACTGCGCAATTCCTTTTCAAAGTGGCCCAATGGAAGAAGAGATTGCAGTCTAAAATATCTTCCAGAGAATAAATCAGGCAAAAATAGGGAGGTCACGGTCAAGGGGAGTCTGTGTGTGCTGCTAGAGGCCTGTCTGTTCGACATTTCTCCGTTATTTTCGCACTGTGCGCTGGGCAACATTTGGTCTAGGGTTATCATAGTGAAGGGCGGCGCCATCTTGACTCACCAGCCACTTGCGAAATTAGCCAGGAAAGACTCGGCGTTTCGACGGACAACGATAGAACTGACTGCCTAAACCCGGCTCAGTGTGCCCCTTTTTTCAGAACTTGTGGTAATCCAGGCCTCACGATTTGCAAAATGCTTTTATCAGCTACTGAAAGCCACACAATGCAAAGTTAACAGTGCAGGAAACGATTACGTTTCTAGGTAACTGTTTTAAACAGGAGTATAAATTTAGGCCAACGCCTTGAATACCTCATGTTGAGCTTCTAACATTGCACACACATTATTTCCACCTCAAGCTGACAGCTCCAGTCACCCGGGTCAAGATCACTCCTTTCTCATTGGTTGACACATGCCCTTGAACTGCACCGTGAAAATGGAGTGCCCCAGCAACTAAGAAAAGATCTCGCACATAGAGCTATTCACTGTTTTAGCAAGCGACCGAGTCCACTTTCAAATGTGACCCCTTTTACTCTACTTGTCCAATAGGAGACGGGCGGCCAATATGAATACGAATAAATAGTGTGCATAAAAACAAAGCAATGTTAAGAACTTAAAAAGTGTTAATGCCGTGGGCTGTCTATAATGGTAGTCTGTAGTACCTGATATAACGATGTATTATAAATTATGTTTATCAAGCTTGTTGTCTTCATCCTTTGGATAACATTGGTTGTTTACGAAAACATACCACAAAAATAGTCATTTGTCTTCACCGTTTGGAGGCATTAATGCGAGTTAAAAACATGTTTGCTGTTTAATAATGGGGTCTGCTTTTTAGGTTAGTGTTTGTTAGATTTGTTTAACTTTACACGCTCACTCCTAATTAGACGGGGTTTGATTTGATCAGTTTTTATTGCCATTGGATTCGGTCCCAGCAGAGCAGGTCCACACGTGATTGGTGGTCAGAACAATGTCGAATTTCGCAGTTCTAATTGGGTCAATTTAAATTTCGAGAGTGTGAGGTCAAAATGGCGGAAATGCAGGGCTTATAACGTTGCAATTTCACACTGGGTTGTTCAGGGTTACCTCATGGTGTCGCAGGGCAAGGCATTAATTGCAAATGGAGCTGTCCTAGTTTCCGTGACAAGTAGCCCACCGCATTCAAACAAACGTACCCAAACGTCACATTGGTCAGAGTCCGGTAAGTGGGTTAGTTGTGTGCATGTGGTTCGAGCATTTGGCCCCCTAAAACCTGCCAAATGCTGATCAAATTTCTAACCACCTAACTGGTAGGCAATGAGCACCACATCCTGATCTTGGATCAGATTTTCGGGCAGGGAAAAAACAGATGTCTAACTGGTTCCAGTAGGCAATGTGTTCGTCCAGGGTTGACAAGTCCACCGGACAAATGGCTTAGATTCCCAATTAACCTCCGTTGTCAGCCGCTTCATCTAGGCAATTTCCCCTCAACTGAACGAAAACAGACGGAAAAAGTGCGTCTAACTGGGTTTTGACTTTTTTGGCAGCAAAACAAAATAAATCACCCTCCACTTCGTCGTCTTCTGGCATCGCAGCAAAATAACAAAATAATAGGCAGAGTCGGCCTGGAGAGGAGGCAGTTTTGTTGAGGGCTGAAAAAAGGTGAGGCGGACGCAAGTACGCGCGTCCACTGCTGATGCCGTTTGCCTGCGATGCCGGGCGCCTCTATTTTTCCAACATCGCGCGCTGACCTTGACGCTCGAAGCACTATTCTTTCAAGGTCGCCGACTTCCAGCACGAGGCATAGCCACGTTCACTGGCCTAAGCTGTCCTCGTGCCCACGCCAGTGGTGTGCAGGGGGAAAAAACACCCCCCGAGCTTCTCCACAAGGTCAGCGTCACGCGAAGTGAGTTTCACCGGCCCAGATTTGGGACACACAACACATTCCTATCGATTTTTTACCCTCTCACCTCAAGGTCAAGAAAACATCCGGGACGGGGGAGGGAGGAGAAGGAGGAGGAGGAGGAGGATTAGTCAGTGCTACCAACTGCAAACGCCCGTAAACAAGATCGCAGATTGCTCGTTTCCTAAAGTCGGTGCCACGTCCGACGTGGTGGCCACGATCCAAAGCGTCTTGTTTTTCGTCGAGTGTGTCTAGCATAACAAGTGTCTTCTTAGCTAACGACATAAATCGGGAAGGCTGTCAACACGTACGTGCACACGCACCAAACAAAGTGATGAAATCGTTACCCATACACGGGAACACAGAATTTATCATTTTGACGGGTTCGGACGCAATCTAAGATGTGAAACTGGAAAAATATTCGAGACGATTTTGGTAGAAATGGATTAAAAATCAGCATGATTAGTTTTGCCATCGTTTTTGACCATCTTTGTCCTTTGATTTCGCCCATAATCACATTTATGAAAGATAAGATCTAATTTTCCAGTAATACCAAGAATGTTACCATTTTTTGCTAGGGTGAATAACCTTTAGCTAACCTCTGCAGGATTGTGATCATTTTGGCGAATCGAATGGGAACAAAAGCGTCACGTGATTCGAAACTCATTTATAAAGCGAGAAGCATCAGTACTGACTTTTACGACTGCATTTGCCGGTTTCCTGAGTCGAGGTCTTACAGTAACCGCAGGCCATAATTTTATCGGGAACTTGCTCTAGATGCCCAGATTTGCCTCCAAATTCTAGCTGCCAGATTTTCTTTCCCAAAAAAGTTGAATCGGACGGAAAAATTTAGATAAATTTGGTCAGAGGTAAAATTTCTATGCTTGTAACAAACACGCAAGAATGCAAATCATGATTTCGGATTGAGCGACAAGTTGAAAAGGACAAGGACCCACTGCTTTAGCTAAAACTGAGGCTGATTTGAAGCAAATAAGGAAAAAAAACACTTATAATTTGTGATTCTCTATAGCTTTTGAATCTTATTGTGTCAAAAATTGGTTTTTTTATAATAAAAAAAAAATAAATTTTGGAATGTTTTTTCGCTTGAATATAACAAGGCTCGATCAAGGAGGCATTATTTTGAAGTCACCAATTTCTTTTTTTTTTAATAAAAAATTAAATTATAATAGGCAAACAGTAAATTGATTTGATAAAGTTGACAATTCGGACGATGGTTTCAGCACGCGCTTTGTTTTAATCGATAGTGAAGCCAATTCAATTGGCTGGATTTGCTGCCTCGTAGTAGGATTTCCCGCCATAATCGACTTCCATGACAGGATTTCGTTTTTCAACCGTGTTATAGAGTAAGTCTAGCTGTCGTGATTTCCATTAAATGCAGAAACTCCATGTTGTCAAGTTGAACGGTATATTTTGCACCACGATAGCCTATTAATTATTTTAATACCCTGGTTTTTCTATACTCTGATTTTTTCCTTTGCTAATCAATGGTTAATCAGTACAAACAAGTACTTGATTTAAGAAAGATTGGACCCCTTTAGGAGGTGTCAGTTTTAGCCCTAAGGATTGAAAGTGAATTCGACAAATCCAGTTATATTGTAACAAAACCCAAGTTTGAGCTGGCCAAGTTTAAAATCAAGTCGGCCTTTGTTCTGTTAATCCATAACTCGTGTTTGAGTTTATCAGCAGTCTTTAACATTGGTACACTTCGAAGACCCATGCGTGAGCTGAAGTTTCCGTACTTCCTCCTCTGTACTGCCATTGTTTTCCTCGGTTTATCTATCTTCCCCACCACAAGACCACGATTGCTTTGGAATAATCTGAAACGGTTAACCACGAAATTTAGACATAAAGCAGTAAGTCGTAGCTACTAACCCACGAGAACACCAACGCTCCCTCGTACACTGGAATATGTCTTCTCTACAATGCAACCACTTCAACGTGGCAGGTTTCTCGCTGCGCACCATCAATGGATGCCAAGACAACAAGTGACGTCTTGACGACTGATAGCATCAAACGGATTTCCTGTACAAAGTGATTACTATGCATTAAAAGTATAAGTTTTTTTCTAAGTGACCTACAGCATTTGAGTCCCTCTCAAAGTTGCTTTGAGTGGAATCAGTCAAAAAGGGCTGAGTTTAGTTCACAACCACCGTCAAGGATTTCATCAAAATAGGATAAAAATGGCGCGCTTCAAGTAGCAATATGATTGGTTCACTGAATTCCAACAAATGTTAACTAATTCATGAGTTTGGGCTATTCTGAAGCATGTGTAGACTGAGGTACTATAGTATAAAGTTTGATTGCTTCACAAGGTTCGAAAATGCTGGGTAGTTTCTCTCTTCTAATTTTGCAAATTTTGCGATTTCCTTAATCTTAGTCTGTTGTTTTAACGAGACTAAACGACACTAATCAAAGAAAAGCTAGTCATAGACAGCTCTCCATCCGACCAATCACACATATCACGACCAGTAGTGTCATGGCTACGAATAAAAACCTGTTTGGCATCGACTGGATCTCGGTCACGGTTCACAATTTGGTGACATCTGACTTGTTATCCACCCTCAAAGCATTCATTTAAATCACATCAATTCTGAGTGCCTCCTCTTGTGCAACTTTGACCAAATATCTCCACATTCCGTACGAGGTTTCATAGTCGTTAATTTGACCGTACGTGGAGGGACGGTGTTTCTGAATGCGTGTTCTCCACCACCGAATCCGACAACTCTCGTGAACGAGGTGAGAAACCCAACGTTGTTTGATGCGTTGTTCGAGGGGTGGGTAGTATAGCTTACTCACACATTTGAAGAGGCGAATGCGTCTGCAACGAAGTGCTCATGTCGAAGGCAAAGTGGGTATTCCGCGTGTCCGAGTCACCGGTGTTGAACTGGACCGTTGATGATTTCGACGCAAGGCTCGTGGATTCGTGAAGGCAGGTAGACGATTTTAGACCCGTGTGAAGTACATCGATTAACAAAGGTACGACCGCACACACACATGGACCTATGACATGAAAACGAGACCCAGCTGGTGGTTGCAGCACCATTAGCATTTCCTCTTGCCACCTAAGGATATCCAAGTCAATTCACTGAAGTGCTCAACTCAAAAGGTCACGAAAGCAAGCCAGTGAGACAGCTGGACGTGCGTAGCTTTCAGGATCTCTTGTTGGGAAATCGATAGTGCCAAAGACAGTTAAGAGAAAATGTCCGTTCAACACAAAACCACCTGATTACAATTTAGTTTTAGTGGCCAGGCACACCATTTAAAATGCCTCATCACTACAGAATGCGAGGACGCAACTGAAATCGATAATGTACGTTATATGCGGGCAAGGAAGGTAACCGTTGGCAGCTAAGGTGGGATCGAGCAGTGCTAATATTATCATCAAAGTTGCTAGGTACGGCTTCAAGATTCCTGAGGTGGCACGATTCCAAGTAACACCGGTGTCGACATCATCAACATCATTTTTGTTGGTCTTCCAGTCTGACCACTACCACGTTCTAAATTAACAAAAAATAGCTGCCAACTACTTCTTCACTGTGGCGCTAGTAGTGACACATGAATATGCATCAAGGAAGAATTAGTGGTCAGAGTGCGTTCACACAAAGCCAAGTGTGCAGTGCCTCCACACTGACGGCTTGTCCCGCTTTCGAGACATGCTTGTCTTCGAGGGGCTCACACCACTTGTACCACAATCTTGTCAATTCAACGCTGCACACGAGAATCCGCTGTCACGCATTTTCCTTCCGCTAGAGCTCAAGTCAACACGAGTGCTGAGTTGAGGTTTGACTAACGCCTCTCTCTTTAACCATCAGGCGATGTCGTCTTGCCGTTTCAACCAGTACACATCTACACTACCTAGAGCCTTCAGATGAACATTGACGCAATATCCTACTTCATCCAAGTATCTCACCATCTGACTTGCCAAATCTGACTGCATTTTCACATTGCCAGGCAAACGTAGTAAGCGTGGGATGACAATATTTCCACTCGACTTTGCATTCTGTCTCCAAAGTCGGTTAAACAAATCTTTTGTCTCGTCAGTGAATTCGATTGTTTTCTTTGCCAATCAGCCTACAAATCTGTCGAATTTAACAGCACAAGTGCATCTCTCCACGTGCAGTTGCCTCTTGGCCATCTCGTACAACTTCCTCCTGCGCATCGCAGCCAGCACTTGCGTCACTGAATCGCACCGACATTCCTTGTGTGCCACGCTGTTTACGCTCACTCGCTCGCTACACCCTCCTTCGCATTTGCAGTGTTCTAGAATTATAATTCGAAGTAGGTGCACACTGGCAGTTGCGACTCTTTGTTCTGAGATGATTTATCGAAATGGTCTTCGTTTGGCATTTGGAGATGTGAACAGCTACGCTCTTAACGGAGGTCACCAGACTTGACCCATTGACTGGTCGTAAATTTGCCAGTTTGACGTACCAACCAATGAGTAGGCGACTAGCGCATAGTTCACCAATTACAGTTTCGATGTCACATGTTACGAAATTGATGCTCAGCCGATAGGGAAATGTCGATTTTGCTCTCTGTGGGATTCCGGTCAATGTGTACACTCTTGTCGTCCAACGGATTTGTAGCCAGAAGACACAAAGGCTGCATCCTGATTCGTTCAGAAGCAGCTCACATCAAGGTCGTGCGTGACACCAATGTGGGCGTTTGTAGTGGCCACGGTGTCCAAATTACGGATGCGTCATGGCACGTGGCATGGCAGAGAACAGGGAACCAGTCCAACACACGCACTCATGAGCGGCCTGTTCCCGCCCTCGCCGTTGCGTGTCGTGACCATGGCAATAAGCACAACATGCCACTGACAAATGCGCGCTGATTTGCATAACATTGACTGAGAGGAAGCACCAAGAGCGTGGCACCGCCGTTGTACCCGTTCATTCTCTGCCTCTTCCAATCAACAAGTCGCGTTGATGTTGGCCAGGTCTCCTTTCACTGCTTCATCGACCCTCCAGCTATACACGTGTTTGTGGCCAGGATCGCATTGGTTGTACCGCACCCAAATCACGACCACCTACTCTCAATTGACACATTACGTGGCGTTCATGTTCGCCTCATTCGACCATCGTAATTGGGGGTTTCGTGATTAGACTGG